CCCCAAAACCCCAAAACCCCAAAACCCCAAAACCCCAAAACCCCGATTTTCTTGCTTAGATTTTTAATAAAATTAAGTGAAAGAATGGAGCCTCACGGCACTAGAGAAAGGGTAGACGACCGTCTCACAGAGGAAGATGCTAGCCAGACATATGGCGAGTTTGACACAGACAGCGTCTTCAATATGTCCACCTTGCATAATATGTCTATTTATGGAGATGTCGATGAGGAATGTAAGTTCCTTGACTCAGATCTCCAAGAAAGAAATGTTACCTTACTCCGACAAGATGATGGGAAGTCTTCCAAGTACGAAAATTTTATAGTAAGCAAACTCTGCCCCACAGTGGAAACTTACCTTTCTCAGGACAAAGGGCTACCAAAAGTGTACATAAAACCAAAGTTCCTAGGGCGTAACTGTTTCGAAAAGGTTGCCATTGCGAGTTACCAAGGATCAGGTAGCTCCCTACTTCGGAAGTATATTGAGAATATCACCTACATCCTCACTGGATCTGACAGGGACACTAGCACCGTCCTTGGAAAGCAGTATCAGTGCGACCTTGGCCTTGAGGGTGAAGGCGTTGCTGGCAAGAAAGTTTGGATAGTTAAGACCAGTTTTCCAGAAGAGATCGGAGAAAAACAGATATCCATCCGTAAATGTATTCTTGTCTGCCAGAACCCTTGAGATGCTATATTTAAGCATTTTTGTAAAATAATTACTAAGAGAATTGATGATGAATTATCCGATGAGCTCATGGATAGATTACAAGAATGATGGGAAGATTTCGTTCACCAAGAAGTACATGTCTGGAGAAAATTCTACGATTATTGGATGCTAGCATCCAAAATTCCAACATATTGAGTTCGGTATGAGGACCTCATGGAGGACCCTAAAACAGTCCTGACTGATGTCTTCAAGTTCTTACTCGATGCAGACAGTATCGAAGGAACCGTTATAGAGGGCTTAATTTCCAAAGAACTCTGTCCTGAAAAGGAGTTATATTACCAAAGAGAAGCTTCAGGAGAATCTTTTGATAAATTCACCGATGCTCAGATGGATCTACTCAAGAGCAAAGCTGGCTGTGTCATTAGGAGACTAGGATACGGGTCGAACTTCATGAGCCCCATCAATCCTATTGCCACGACTGACTACTTCGAGAATGATGAGCTCATCACTGAGTCAAAGAAATATGAACTTGACACGATAGTAAAATAATAGGGATGAGCATGAGATAAAAGTAAGATACGATTACGTTGAATTAAATAAACTTGCACTCTCTCAAGTCAAAGGTAGGCAACAAATGGACCAGTCCAAACTCCCTATTTTCAAACTTAACCATGAAAGTGAGAAACTTAGAGAACTCGGAATTAAGCAATGCTTGAGGCCGTACAAATTATTGATAAAGGAAATCGCAATGACACTGTTTTAAATATTTATAAAAATTCAATTAAATGGTCGATTCTTGGGGTTTTGGGGTTTTGGGGTTTTGGGGTTTTGGGG